TACCATCCATCCAGTACCAGCAACACCAAGCATGAGCACCTACAACCATCAGCAACAGAAACTACATCACTACCATCCATCCAGTACCAGCAACAACACCAAGCATGAGCACCTACAACCATCAGCAACAGAAACTACATCACTACCATCCATCCAGTACCAGCAACAACACCAAGCACCCACAACCATCAGCAACAATCAGCGACAACAACACTAACATCAAGCAGGAGCCCAACAACAGCAGCGGCAACGACAAGGGCAGCATGCATCAACGGCATGCGCAATACTACTACAAGACATGCGCATCAGACATGCGCGTCAGAACAACACCAATAGCAGCAGCAACGACACCACCATGGCCAAAAACAACGAAAGATCCAATAACTAACTAATATAACAGCCAAATAAAAATCTAAACTACTTGCAACCCGATTGTTAAGAAAGGGTTAAGAATCGGCAAGAGAATATGAACTAAGAGAAGGAATCCCCCCTATATAGCCTTGTAACCATCATGTGCACAGTTTGATGCTATTTTTAAACCATTTGCTTTTCTGCACGCGCATTTACTGCTCGCGCTCTACGTTTTTTGATTACGTTTTTGGGGTTTTTCCGTTATTTCGACTCTGCCCTGAATATGAATGTGCACGTCGAAAGCTTGGCAAATATGACAGAAAATTGAAGTACTAATTTGTTCAACTTTCTGGAGTGTTTTTACATTTATTTTCCAAAGCTTTCGACCTACATCGTCATCTTGAGGGCAGATTTGAACATTTGAACATAAGAAAACGTTGGCAAACAGTGTAGACCGCGCGCGTACTATGCGCGTGTAGAAAATCAAACGATCAAATAAATGATATCATTGGATGATATTTTTAGAATAGATTCTAAAAATAGCATCAAAGTGTGCACATGATGGGGCACGGGGATTCCTTCTCTTAGTTCATTTTCTCTTGGAATCGGGCTTTATACGCACGCTACTCAGTAATGTTAATAATAACAATGTAAATGTAAGGTAGGATCTATAGTTTACTGCTTCATGATTAAACGTATGACAAGAAGGTAAATTTGTCTGTTTTGGGGGGAGGGGAGGGGAAGACAAAAATCGAGTACAATACAGTATATGAATAGGACATACATGACACTCAACTATACAATTATTAAATATCTGATGAAAGGAAAACGAATAAAACTAACATATCTACCTTTCTTAACTAAAAATCCTTTTCTAAGCGTATAACACGCCAAAACATTAATGACTATAGAAAACTATCAAGAACAGCCTTACTACTTCATCTAAGACTATATGAAATGGCACTATTCCTTAATGAAGTTTTAGGTTAGTGTGTTTTTGAGTTTGGGTTAGGGTTAGGGTTTCGATTAGGGTTTCAGGACGTTATAATCAATAATCAATAATCAATAATCCAATAGTGCCATTTCATGTAGTCTTACATGAAGTACTAACCAAAAACCGTCACTTTTATAGTTTACGCATCATCTTCGTCGGATAACCTCTGACCACTAATACTAGGGCTTCGATTTCCACAGGGTGCCCCAATGGAGAATACCTCTTCGGATAACTCCTTGATGAGCGCACTGCTATCGGTATCAGGGAAATCCATGGTGTTCAAGTCGTGGTCCAAATTGACTCCCGGATTGAGTGAATTTAAGTTCGAGAAGGTCGACTCTATGATGTAGGGGTCCATGACTTTATTAAAGTCAAGGCTGTCAGTGCACTGCGCGCCATTATTAGGTGGAAAACTGCTCGAGCTGTAATTCAATGCCGAGTTCTTCAGAGAAGAATTATTTTCTCGATTCAGTGCCGGGTTCTCGTTTACGCTTGCCTTGTTGGGATTTGGGTTAGGTTTGGTTTCTTCGTTTTCACTTTCTTCTGAAGACGAGGACGAGGACGACGAAGACGAAGAGGAAGAGGAAGAATCGTCGTCGGATTCCGAGTCGTCTTCCGAATCACTTCCGTCTTCGCTCGACGCATCTTCGTTAGATATTCGTGCCTTCTTCGATTCGGTTTCTGCCGCTTCTTTATCTTCATCTTCTTCTTCTTGTTCCTCCTCCTCCTCTTCTTCTCTTTCTTCTTGTTCATCTTCTTGTTCATGCTCATCACCATCATTCTGTTCTTCAATCTTCTCATCCTGTTCATCGTGCTCAGATTCCTCGGATCCCGCGTCCGAGAGTGCGACACTTCGTTTTCTTTTTCTTGGTCGTACGATTTTTTCTTCTTCTTCTCCCTCGTCTTCTTTCTCCTCTTCCATGTCCACGTCTCCATTTACGATGACGCCGTTCTCTTGAGGCCTTTCCTGTATTGATTGTTGTAACACATTAGTATATTCAATATTATAAAAGCATTATCATAGGGATGATTGATCGAGGCATTTCTCTTGTGAATGTGAGCCTAAATGAGTCCCAAACACAAGGTATAGAATAGATTTGTATTCTTTGAAACGGCAGAGCAAACGGGCGCTAACACGGTACTGTATGAATTGACTCAGTACATATTATAAAACAATCATCCAATCAAATGCTCCGTCACAGCAACGTTACTTGAGACTTTTAGATGCGGCGACGAGTACGAGGACGAGATCGAGTACGAGTTTTTAACTTTTAAAGAGAGGCACTATCTTTTTGTAGTCGTGATCGTGTACGCAGATTAAAGCTTTAAATTGTAAAAAATCGGGAATCGACTACGATTCAGTGTTAACCACGTGCACAGGACCAATTTTAAAACTCGTACTCGTACTCGATCTCGTACTCGTCGTCGTATCTAAAGGTCGCTACTATAACCGTACGCGGCACTGTCATCGTAATGAATTAGCGACATCTTATAAACCAAACACAACGCACGAGGTAACATATCATCCAATCAAAAGCCTCGACACAGCTCCGTCACGGTAACGGTACCGCAGGACAAGGCACGTCATATTTCATTTCCTCTATTGGCTACTTTACTGACCTTTACGTCATCGATATGTTCGATATCAAAGTCTTGGTCACTTTCAGCTACACTAGGTCTGTTTCTTCTGCCACCATGGGTTTCTAGTCCATTGGTCATCTTATCTCCCTCATCAATCAGAGCCAGGTTAGTATGAACTAGTGGTGTCCATCGCAGGCAGTCTTCATCGAGGGTTGTACGATTCTGAGAAAGCACTTTTTCCATGTGTTTATCAATCACACAACGATTCGTACAGATCACAAACCTGAAAAGTTTCAAAGATTTTTAATTCCACAAGTAACATTTTTTCTTTTCTTTCTTGCTGGGTGCAAGAAAGGGACCGTTTAATTTTTACGGGCATGGGATGGGGGGTAAGAGGGGGATGGGATTTAGGGGGGCAATAGCTTCTGTACCTTGGGCGTAATGTTTCCCTCTTTCTGACCAAGTATCATTCCCTAGAGTATCATTTCTTTGTTTAACTGTTGAGCACGAGAAGGCACATGAATATTGATACAACTCCGTCGAACAAAGAGTCTCAAGAGAATGACAGGTGGTCTTAAATGGGAAATCATTACACCCAAGATAAAGAGTGTATTGTTAGATGTAATATTGCTCCTTACTTGCCGTCCCGTTTCTGCACCATGTTCAGTAACTGTAATGTTGCTGCGATATCATGAGGATCCATACCTGTAGCCTGGCTAATACCTGGATGTACATGAAACGAGTATAAATATAGTAGAGTGTACAGTACATAGAGTATAGTACATAAACATGAAGTTTATCTTCGAGTGGTGAAAATATGTATATATATGCCTAGGTATATAATGGGGCGTGGCGTGGTGTGGGTGTGGTGTGGTGTGGTGTGGTGTGGTGTGGTGTGGTGTGGTGTGGTGTGGTATGGTGTGGTGGATATTTACCTCGGATGGTTACTTGGTTCTCTTTATTATGATACATGTATTCTAACAATACACTATTCCAATAGCTCCTGTAGCTGATCAGTCCCAGGTCTGATAACGGCTTCTCTGGGGACCCTGGTTGGGATTCTTTCCGTGACAACAGATAACCTAAGAACATAACACCTGATCAGCTCCATACTAATCGATACAGATAGGCCAAAACGAAAAGACAGACAGATAGAGGCATGCAGACAGAAATACAGACAAACAGTTCTATAGACAGACAAAGGCAGGCAGGCAGACAGACAGTAAACAGTGATAGTGATAGTGCTTACTAAAATCAATAAGTAGTCGTCCAAAGCCTTGTCTCTGGTAAGGTGGCAGAGTCATGATGCAAGACACGTTGTACTTTTGTTGACAAGACTTTTCCTGGAAAAACAATATGAACATCATCATCATCATCATCATCACCAGTACCACCTTTACCATCAACACTGAGAACTTCCAAAAAATTTGCAAAACCTTAAATCCTATTTTTGACAGTCAAATGGTCACCAATATCAATGTATCGCAACATGTGATTCTAGTCAATTGTGCTACTATCAAAACTAACCTTTGAGAAGTACCCCACAAGATGGCAACCTTTTCTGTCATTCTTGGTAAGCACGTAGAATAGGAAGGGCTCAACGTCGTAATACAGTGTCTTGTGGTCAAGAAACAGCTTAGCAAGAAGACACAGATTCTGGCAGTAGATCTAATCAAACATTCACAATGTAATGTATTATCATCATCATCTTCATCATTATCATCATCATCATCATCACTATCATCATTGTCTGCAGCAGCTACCTTATCACCATCATCATCACCACCTGGCTTCACTTGCATCATCTTTGTCAGCAGCAGCAACATCATCATCATCATTACTGTACCACATAACCACCACCCCCATCGTCACCATGATCATCATCATCATCAGTAGCAGCACAGCAGCAGCAGCACCATCACTATCTCTACCTCAATCATTATCATCATCATCTTATACTGCCTATTATCAACATCATCATCCTCATGATCATCACCATTATCAACACGACCACCATCATCATCATATCAACAGCAGCATCACCATCATCATCTTAAGCATCATCCATCATACCAGTACCACCAATATCATCATCATACAAGCATCAGCATCATTTACAGCAGCAACAGCAGCAGTAGCATCTTTGTTTAGAAAGAATAAAACTTGGCCAGTCGCTATGTGAAACCTAGAAAAAAATTAACATGCTCATCTGTGGTCAACATGGAGATGTGTACCTTATTCACAGCTCCGTCTACTTCAAAGACTGATATATCATCCTTGCGATAGATTTCATTTGCTGGTGGATGAAACCAACCGCATTTGGTCTGAAGTAAAGAAAAACAGAACAGGATTATGATTGGAGCTGTTACTTACATGTACAGTGTACATGTAACTAAGTRTCAAATATTATAGCTTACCATATGTCGTTGTACAATACTAGCACTCTTCATGTACTTAAGACAGAATTCACAAATAAATAGCTTAGTTAACCTAACAAAAACAAACAAAGAAACAAACATTAATTTCATTTAACCACGAAACACCCACTGGGCTGATCTAACTCTGGGCACAGCTGTTCCCTTGAACCCCAAAATGAAAGGTTGATGCAAAATGGTAATTCATCACAGAATAAAACAATTTATTGTTCCAACTTTACCTTGCATATTCCTGAGGGTAAGGTGAAGAGTACCAAGTGGTGATCTCATAGCGTCCAAACTGGATCTTTGATGGAGATCTGGAGTTAGCTGAAGGTGTTAATACAGGGTTCATGTTCATACTAGAATTAGCTTTTTCTTGTGCTTTCTTGAAGAGTGCAAGGTCCCCTTCTGTCACTCCTGCAATAGATAAATAAATAAATGATAATGATTCGTTTGGAAATTTGATTTGATGAAAGCTAGATTACACTGTACTGTAATCCCTTATGCTACCCTTGTCACCCCTTGAATGAGTGTGACCTAGATGTACCACCACCATTCAACCTACTTATACCTACTCAAACCTAATTACCCAAGCTGAAATATTTATACCACATCAACCAACCTGGGGGTAGATGTGAATGTTTTCTGGGTGATGGTGTTGGTGGTTGTGGTGTGCATTGTGTTTTTTCTTTTTCTTTATGTACACTAGATGGTCTGCCAGGTCTTTTCTTGACTACGACTTCCTCAGTGACAGGTGTTGAGGGGGGACTGGGTGAGGCTTTCGGGGAGTCTAGTAAACTTTCAGCTTTTTCTTTTTCGGCTTTTTTTGTTTCAGCAGCGAGAGGACAAGCTCCAACACTAAAACAGTAAAATATTCATAATCAGATCAAGAACAAGTGAAACAAACCTTGAGACAAAAAATCTTGTCTTCTTTATCTAAATATCCTGGTCTATTACACTACTTAACTTTCAATCAATGCAAATAACTTACTTTGATAACGTGCTTCTATTTATTCTAGTGTTATCCTGTCTCATCTGTCTAGTTTCTCTACACTCTATGAAATTATGTCTGTTGGTGTCAAATAAGTGCAAGTAAAACCTCATGCAATAGCTATAAATCTTGTTAGAAATAACTGTCCTAATTTGTACCTTCTGTGTGAGGCAAATCTTCCAGTGATATGTCCTGTACTGTCACAGCCTGGAGTGGGACAAAGCCTACAAATGATGATTCAACAAAAAAATTTCAGATGGTCAACCTTTGTAAGTTTAATGTATGAAATCCTGTAAAATACATCATCATTTTTTTACAAGTGTGAAAACTACAAACTCCTTAATTAGAAAATGTCCAATACAAAATAATTTTATACAATTTTTGTTTTAATAATTGTTTGCATAAAGACTCATATCAGTGGTTTAATTGCCCCACCCCTGAGACAAAATCCTGGATTTGCCTAGGTGTATACATTTGCTACTCGTGATAAAAGTGAGCGGCAACAATGACAGTGAAGTAAAACAGAAACAGTAACGATATCTTACCCAGATGAGGGTGGTTCCGGTGATTGTGGTTGTATTTTTCTTCTTGGTGGTGTTACTATAGGTGTTTCAACATGGCCTTTCTTCTTGCGTCCAGGAGTCTTTGTCTTGCATAGAAAACAAACCCAGCTTCCTACAGTAGTAATAACACAGAACTAATGAGTTTGTTTGATGTTTCTCTCTCTCATCAAGAGGCTTTTCTTCACGTTCTCCAGTTTCTTCCTCAGTCCATAAAAATGTAATCTCTATAAAGGGTTAACCTCTCATACCTCCTTTTGCACTATAACATGAATTATTGGGTTACTATTTTTTTTTTTATAGTATCCTTTTTATGATGTAAAAATCTGAAACATCAGTCACCACCAACAGCAGTCTTTCTCAAGACTACACTCAACTGGATGATAACACTTGACAACAAACTGATTCTTACCGTTAGGCATCTCAGTCATTGGTGGATCAAGACATTCCATGTGGAAACCTTTATCACAAGCATCACAAAACAACAGATTGTCCTGGAGAACAAGAAAGTAAGTGTCTCCATTATTATAATGGCAGCTTATACATCATGTGTAGTTATGAGTAGTACATAACTCTAACAAATCTGCTCAAGACGGATCTTTTTACCTTGGGAGAAACATTTTCCAATTTAGGTCATGTGTCATTTTCTTTAGATTCTTGTAGATTCTTTGTTTGAGTTTTGTCCATGTAACTTCTCAAGCACAACCATTAAACAAAGAAATAATACTCTAGGGAATGACACATGGTCCGAAACTGTTGAAAAATCTTGTCTGGTGTTTTTGTATTGTTTTGTTTTGTACAAGAAAAAAAAAGCAATGAAACCAGAGAAAAACCATTCAATAACATGCAACATAAGCAGTTAAGCCTATTGTAGTTCTTACTGGCAAGATAGGCTGACATAAGCCAACATAAGCAGATGCAACTCCATTAAAGAGAACTACATTCTTGTTTCTCTTGCATGGACTTGTGCTTGTGCTTATGCATGCTTGCGTTGTCTTATTTTGCTAGTAAGAGCCAGGCTTTAAGAATAATTGACATCATATTAAAGAACTTACAGCTTCACCAGCTTCTTTACACATGGAACACGTTTTACATTCAATACACTGCCATGCCTCAGCTTTGACTCTCAATGTCAGTTCTGGTGAATACTTCAAGCATGATGGATGACCTTAGGAAATATTAAAAAACATCTTATTTTCAATCATGAAACAAGGAGTTGTTGCCAAGTCTCCCTAGACAAGCTAATGTTTAGTACCATTACATTTAATATTCTAATGGATGGGACAAATGATGCAATAATGCCTGGGACAGTGCTTGCAACAGGGAAATTACATTGTACTGTAAGTCCACTTTTGTAAGTGTTTTGTGCGATATAGCAGAAGAAGAAATGAGCACGTCACATGCAACAGTTGCATGGGAAGAAGCAAAATTGTAGGGAATATGGAATCATGTATCTGAGACTTAATCATTTGTGTACGTGTCTCAAGAATCATATACAATGTTCATTTGTTTATTTACCACTGTTTCCACAATCTGCACATGATATCAGCTCTTCTTGTTCTCCTTTTCTGTTCTTTTCACCAGATCCTAGACAAAACCCACACACTGGACTTGGATTGGCTTTTTTCTTTGGCTGATAACAAGTATATAATTGATTAATACATATCACATGTGTGTGCGTGGGCCCAAAACACACCTACAGTACACTGGACTACAATAGAGTGCACACACTAAATCCATGAATTTGATATTGACTTTTCTTGTGCATGGTCACTAGTTTGGGAGTGTCCGTGTCACAGATAATGCATATTCATTTATTTATTTTATCTAACATGTTTCCTTGAGAAGCCCTTACCATGGAACTAGAGTCCTATTCGTGCTCCCCTTATTGGGCCATTATTCAGATTCCTCTTTCTAATCATTCAACTATCTTATGTACATGGTGGTGGGGGGTGGGGGGGGGGGGCATGTACCTTATATCTAATTACCCAATAAAGTTGTAAAAACAAGTCTAGGAATCAAGCCCAAGAACCCTGAAGCAAGTGTACCACTTCTAATGCCCACCCTTTCCTGACTGATTTCCTGACTGCTTTAGTTCAGCCAGTTCAGTTCAGCTTTTGTTTCAGGGTATCGGTAAAATGTAAAGGTTTTTTATCAAATGTGTTTTTGTCACTCGGTAAAGATCTATATGTTAAGTGTATGCTCCATCAAGTGTATAAGCAGATTAAAAAATCTGTCTCAGTTGGGTTCTCGGGGGACTCGAACCACTGACCTCTTGTTTGCTAGACGAGATCTCAACCACTCGTGTTGGGTAGGAGATCACACGTGGATTTGATTAAAATATAGATCTAACAGAACCTTCTCCCGTAAAGCCTCAGTGGCCGAGCGGTTGAGATCTCATCTAGCAAATGAGAGGTCAGTGGTTCAAGTCCCGTGAGAACCCAACTGAGGCAGTTTTTTTAATCTGCTTATACACTCGATGTAGCATACACTTAACATATAGGTTTTTTATCGTTTGGACTCACCTTTGTCAAAGAAGCCAGCCTGTAATTCCTGCCTTCCTTCAAGAAAATCCCATTAATCAATCCCTTTTTCAACACAGATTTCACATGAGAATGCACATCGGTCCTTGAGCTAATCAAATTACTATAATGTTCCTGGATGTATTTTTCAACAGCATGTATTGAACAGCCATCCTTTCCAATCTTTTCTAAAGCCTCTGTAGCATATGCTTGAAAATCCACTGGTTTTTCAATGGTACCTCTAACAATATTGGCAGCATGCATTGGATTCTTATAGGAAGACAGACCTTTAAAGGTAACTTTGAGCACTCTTCCATGTTTCACACAGAGTTCCAACTGTTCTGAGATTGTATCTTTATCCAGACCATAGCTAGTTTCTAGAACATGAGATATTCTGTCCTCACTTGGACGCTGCTTTTGTCCTTTTACTTTCTGAATCGCTGCGAGGATCCACAGGACATATTTAGGATCAAGGGTAGTTTCAGTGTTCTTGTCCTTATCTTTCTCTTTATCACTATGTCGACCTCTTGCCATGTTCACTGAAACATTAAAAACACGAAAATGCTATTTACAATAACAATAATATCATTAATCCAAATAATTAATAATGAATCTTTAAAAAAAAGAATTTTAAATGTACAGGATGTGTGCTGTGAACAGTAATAACATTGCATAGTACACAAGATAGTTGGCAAAACACAAGAGAAGTGGGTTTTTTYCCTCATTGGTTTCTTTTGTCTTGTTCTCATTTTATAAACCCTTCTTTTTACCACCTCTTTCTCTTTTACTACAATGAAGGACTAGCGTCCAAAACATCAGTTTTTTCATCTTTTCATGGTGTATAATTTACCCTTTTATTATTACTGTTTTTTTAGGAGAAGCACAAAGCATATACGTACTGCAGTAGCAGGGTGTTGTGTGCTTTCATAAAGTATGCACTCCCAACTGCGCATGCGATGCCAGAGCTGGAAGCAAAACGGAGCCTTAAGTCTCCCCCCCTCCCCCGTCCCTTCTACACAAAGGAAATTTCATTTTGCCTTAGTTTAGGCTCTGTATGAAAACAAAATTCTGTTCCCAACCAAAAAAGTATCCTAGCTTTCTAGTACCATCCCTGTCCAACCAATACCAATATGCCTTATGCGTGAAGACAGCAAGACCAGGACAGTAGGGACTTTAAGATTTGCAAAATCTACGATGGCGACAACCAGAAGTAAAAATAATTTCTCAACACATTGTCAGTAAAGTCAACTCATCCACAGGGAAGAAAAACTTTGAAGGCACGAAACCCCAAAATGAAGTTGTTCACACTTCTGGTAGACGTTGCTGTCGCAGATTTTGTGAATCTTAAAGTCCCTAATGACACTAGGATGTTGATGCAAGCGCATTTTCAAAACAGTTGTCATGTGCATGTCATCATTCTTGCCATTGTAGTTCTCTTTAGTGAGAAAAAGCAACAATTGACATTCTAGAAAGGTCAATCAACAAGGATGGAGGCACGAAAAACTGTTTTGTATTTATTTGCATACACCATCGTTTTGGCATGATCATCCTCGTTGTCTGTCACTGCGTAAGGTTGAAAAGATTGATAACAGTTATTATAGTACACTCAACAAAATTACTCGAATTTGATTGGTTGAGAGGAGTACAATTATAGCGTTAATTGTACTCCCTAGGAGTACCGAATTAAGTCCCTATGGCAACACGGCCAAAACAATGTCAAAACAATTATTTTCTATCATTTTGTACTTAAAAACATAAATAAGATTTCAAAGCCGTAAGAACTAATCTTTTTTATGCATTTCAGTTGCGCGATGGACTGAAAATCGGCCACCAAATAGACAAAGATGAACGGCGTCGCTTCAAATTTTTTACTGAAATTTTGTTGAGTGAACTATAAACAAAAAATCGCACGATCTTCTCGTACAATTTGGAATTAATAGACACTCGTAATGTTTTGAAAGTTCGTGCGATTTCCTATACTAATAGCTAGGTGTTAATTAACATAAAAGATTAAAAGATGTAAAGTACTTAATTAAACATAGTGTTTTCTAGTAATTCTGCTAGCTATTACTTAATTATTGCTTAAATTAAGCTTAAATAGCTAATTTAGAGTTTAGACTAGCTGCTAAACAGCTAAGAAATAAAAACTACGTCTACACCATAGAATGAGAGCGAAATTGTATCCGTTTGACAGAACCAAAATAGAAGAAATTTCAACTATTTATTCAAATTTTATTAAGCTTTTGTCTTAGAAAACATGAGCGTTAGGGTTTTATTGATGCAATTCTCACAGCAACAACAACAAGTGTTTCTTTATCAGCAGGAAAAGCATAAGAAAAGAAATAATAAAAATGCTGTTAGGAAAATAATCAAATTTTGCCGACTAAAGAAGCTGAATTTTCTATTACTAACGAAGAAAGCTTTGYCAAACTTTAGCTTGTGTTTATAGTTTTTATCGTAATTTTACATACAAAACTCACCTTTAAGTTCAAAGGACCGTAAATATTAATCTTCTTAAGACTAATGCTGTTTTAGAAGGCATAAAACGTTGGATTTCATGTCAAAAACTCTTGTGTTTTTGAGTAAAATTTTAACTCTTTTCAAAKGCTTTGCATATGTCGCCAAATGCAGTTACTTAATGCATGTTGGGAGAAAACACTAATATCATTGTAGATACTTGTTATAGCTTTCGTTCATTTTAAAAGTATAATTTGACAGAAAAAATACAAATATTTATAAAAGTATGTTTAAAACTATTTGAGGTCTTAAGATAAGTAAAATTACATATGAAGCTTTTATTAAGATTAATATTTGTATGACTGTGGTGATCGATTAATACTTTCTCTCAACATGGATAGGCTGACGCCATCTTGCTTCTTATATCAATATCTGATTGGGTTAAAATTTGGACCACAGGAAACCCATACTTTGTATTTTTCAAAAGAGTCGTTTAAGTCTCAAACCTTGGTAATCCGAACAGATGTTCGTTTACAGGGCATATTATTTCAACTCAAACTAGACTGCTCTTTGCGGTGATCAAGAGAAGGGCTAGCACTAAGACGCAGAGAACGGTCAGTTCCCCTCTCCTACAAGAAATAAGCGCGCGATTAAAAAAAAGTGTCTAAATGACAGGCAGACGTTCAAGGATGTCAAAACACAGAATGGCCGGCAGCTCCATTTGTTGTTAAAAACCCAGCCCATTTTGTTGCCATTAGACAAACCAAATTATATATTCTATCATAAATAAAAAGACTTAAACGATTCCAAAGTACATTTTATTAAATGGACTAAAATTATTCGCCTCCAATTTCAGACAATAATTTCGATCCCGCCACTCAGTGACTGCCGGGCTTGAAAATTTAATTTGTGTTATTTACCGTTTTTTCCTGCGCTAAAGTCGAATCACTCGATCCCTATTACACGAACCAGGATATTGCTCATACACCTTTAAGAGTACGGCACGTCTGTACCTACCACTCACACAAGGTGAATTGAAAGTCGCGCGCGAGGAAAATAATCAGTTCAGCCGTCCTGTAGCGGACAGAAATTGTGTCCAGGACTGGATTACGATTTGTACCTTTGATGAGTTTTTCACAGTCACACAGAATTTACTCTTTATGACCTTTGAGTTTTGGAAATTAAAAGAGTGGCTTTAGATAGTTTGCGTAGGGAAACATCAGGATACGGATGAGGACTACATCCCGGGCGGAGAGTGATACATGTAAAATACAGTAAATGTATGTAAATTGGGCTGTGAGGGGGCCGTGAAATGCACTCTACGCCCGCGATTTAGTCTTTTCCTCAAAACACACAGTTGAATCACAAGCTAAGCCCTGTTTTTCTTTATCCTTCCAGTTTGTTGTATCACGAAGCAATCTTGGTGAACCCTGAGCTAATGAGGATGGATTTTTAACCGCTAAACTCATCATGGACGAAGCGAGGAGCAACAAGTTTAAGACGAAATTGTAAAAATATATCAGCATTTAAAAAAATAGGTGTGTAAGCACAAAAAGACTAAATTGAATATGTTTGGTGCTTTTTGTTGATTGAACGCCTAATGGAATTAATGGAATCGAATTAAAGTTCCTTTGAAAATCATAAGGGTCCATTTTAATGTGTTGATTTTCGCAAACCTCGCTAACTCGTTCTCCTTCACACTCTTCACTACAAGGAAGCACTCTCCTTTAAATGTAATTTGTAAAATAAGCCTACGTCGCCTTGGTGTCCTTTTGAGTGTTGTGATCTTCGTATACATCGCCCCACCCCCGTACTCCTTCACACGCTTCAGAAGGACGCCTTCTGTCGATGTAATACCATAGAGAAAAGAGTCATGAAAACAAGCTTACTTTCGTGTCCTTTTGAGTGTTGTGATGTTTGTAAAACTCCGGCTGATTCAAACTCCTTCGATTCACACGCTTCAGAAGGACGTCTTCTGTCGATGTAATGAAATACTTGGTGGTGAATATGAGAACTGACTCGGTGAATGCAGAACAGGTTTATAACTATACTACTAAAGACTAGATTAGTCTATACCTTGATTTTTTCACAGTCACACAGAATGTACCCTTCGTTATGATCTCTTCATATGCTTTGAGTTTTGGGAATTAAAAAAGTGGCTTTAAGTAGTTTTTCATAGTGAAAGATTCAGGATACGGATGAGGACTACATCCCGGGCGGAAAGACATAGAGGTAAGATACAGTAAATGTATGTAAATTGGGCTGTGAGAGGGCCTTGAAATGCACTCTACGCCCGTGTTATAGTGCTTCAGAATGCTCATATTTCCAATGACCCCCAGCGTTTCAGTTTGACTTTGATGGGAGATCGAGAGCAAGCAGATAAATCTTTAGACTCTATTGAACATGTCCATAGTCTTTGAAAGAATATTGACTCATTGATCATCATGGTAAACCGACTCCCGTACGAATAACAATCGCGAATAATTCGTACGGGAGTGAAAAATGTTGTTAAATATTGGCTGAACCGACTCCCGTACGAATAACAATAGCGAATAATTTGTACGGGAGTTGTCAGAAATTCTATCACGTGACATTTCCCGCACATAGCAAAAAGAAAAAGTAAAAGCTATGGGGAGATTGGATAAACTGTTAGAAAAAAATGATCCGTGAAATTTAATGCAAGTGAAAAAAGAAAAATGCTCATTTTTTCAAAAGGTGGTATTTGGACTTGAGTCCACAACAGAAATAAAAAATAAAAAATATATATAATCGATTGTAATGTGCCATACCCCCGAGACATCCGCAGAGCTGAGGCGGCGTAT